CCTCGACCTGAAACGTCAGCCTTCCTGCTCCTCTGATGCTGCTTGGCCTGCTGTGTTCATCCAGCTCTACACCTTGTTATCTCAGATTCTCCAGCATCGGCAGTTCCTACTATCTCTCTCTCTCCCCGCCCCATCTCTCTCTCTCTCTCTCTCACACAAACACACACACACACACACACACACACACTCTCTCACACACACAGGCACACACTGTCACACAGACACTCAGAAAACTGGGTTATGGGTGGAGGAAAGCTAGGAAGACAGTTCAGTGGTTCCTATTCACGGCTTGCCAGGATGATCGATATGTTGATCAGAACATTGTTTTTCAGTTGTCTTTCTCCAGCTCCTCCCACTGGCTTGGCTGGTTCACTTAAAAAAGGTCTTTAATTTATCAATTAAAATTATCTGCCACCATTATCCTTCAAGATGAAAGTGGTTGTGGGTTCTGGAAGGTGCTGTCTGAGGAACCTTGGTAAGTTACTGCAGTCTATCTTGTTGGTGGTATAGATGCTGTGACTGTGCATCAGTGAACAACGTGTATGTTCAAGGTTGTGAACGAGGTGTCAATCAAGTACACTACTTTGACCTGGATGCTGCTGTTTTATTCTTTCTGTCAAACTGGACAAGTTTTCGCTCATTATATTCCATCTGCTAAGGTTTTTTCTCCCATTCACTTAACCTGCCCATATCCTTTTGCAGATGTCTTATGCCATCTTCATTGCTTTACCTTCCTACCTATCTTCGTGTCGTCTGCAAATTTAGCAGCAAAACATTTATTCCCTCCTTGTTACGCGCATTATGGCATTAACTGTGGGACACGAACAAATTGTTGGGTACATTGTAGATAGTTACTCTATTCAATAATGATTCACACCCAGTGCATGTTGAGACAGACTGTGGGCATTTTTTTGCTTATGCAGCAATCAATTTCATTGTAAAGCCTTGGCCACAATGCACTTCATGGTATGGCAACTGAATCATGCTGTGTTTTTGGAAAGACACACTAGCATTGATTGTATATCTTTAATGTATAAAAACCAAGACATCTCACAGAGGCATTGTCAATTATTGGCACCAAACCAAGTGGAGGTGTTTAATCAATGCATCTGCTGCCCTTGTCCTCCTAAGTGACAGAGATCGCGAGTCGGAAGGTGCTGTATATAAAGTCTTGGTGTGTTGGCCAGTGCACCGTTCACCACTTTGATGGAGAGGTTCCTGCTCGATGGTAAAGCTTCAAACGTGGGATCCTAGCTCCATCACCAGAATGGCTCCAGCAATCCTCCTGAATATTACAAACTTCCCTAAGCAGCATCAAGATGTATCTACACTTAATCATTCAACAGGGAGAAATAGGGTCCACAAATTCCAGGATAAGTCAAAAAAGGCAGCAGGCTCAAATGCATTCCACCCGACTCACACCCGACTTCCTGTAAAGACTCCATCCCATTCTCTCAGTTCCTCCATCTCCATCGCATATGTTCAGATGAGATCAACTTCGACAAGGGAGCCTCTGAAATGTCCACATTCTTCCTCAACAGAGGATTCCCCAGCTCCGTTGTTGACAGGGTCCTCAATCGGGTGTGACCCATCTCCCGCACTCCCGCCCTCCCGCCCTCACCCCTTTTCTTCTCTTCCACAACAGCGATAGGGTTCCCCTTATCCTCACCTACCATCCCACCAGCATCCACATCCAGAAGATCATCAGACGCCATTTCTGCCACCTCCAGCAAGATGCCAC